TGTTGGGTCAAAAGTTTTTGTAATAAGTTTGGGTAAATAATATTGGGCTCAAATTTTTTTGTTTTAAATGAGTTAAATTTTTTAATTTTTTTGAGTAAATAATGTGAGTCTAATATAAATGAGGGAGACACACATAATATATTATACAAATATATAATACATATAAGGCCTGTTTGTTTGAGATATAAAGGTGGTATAAGAAAAATAGTACGTGAGACATACCTTATACTTTGTTTGTTTGATATTTTTTACTCGATATTAATTTTTGGGTCATAGTATTGACCCGATGTGAACAGTAACTCTTATGTCTTATATACGGTGTTAAGCAATAACACCTATCTGATGGTATAATATTCTCGGAATAAATTTAATGAAGGTATAATAGAGTTAAATGACTTAAATGTCCTCATGTACAATGCTCATATAANAAAGCGTTAAGCAATAACACCTATCTGATGGTATAATATTCTCTGAATAAATTTAATGAAGGTATAATAGAGTTAAATGACTTAAATGTCCTCATGTACAATGCTCATATAAAAGCCAGTTATAATTTTTGACTTTTTTTAAGGTTACAATTGTCTTTTTACATTGAATAGTTGCAATTTTTAATTTTTTTAAGTAAGTATTACACAGATTATATTTGTAACAAACAAACAAGGAGAATGATGAGATTATAGTTTAAGACTGAGTATAATATATTATTGGATCAGAGAAGAATAGATATAAAATTTTATACCACCTAAATCTTATACCTCAAACAAACAGGCCCATACCCTACTAATAAAAAAAAAATTGAGGGGGGGTATTTGCCCACCCTGATCTAGCTGTCCCTTCGCTCTTGCGTAATCCCTTCTCTCTTTCGATCAAAATAAGAATAGAAAATGCTGAAAAAAAATTTCTTTCCATGATTATTGGGGCTTAAGTCTTAAGGATTTTGAAAAATTATGCTAATGATTAATGATTTAGTGGGCTGATACTGATAACCTTGTATGAAAATGGTAATTTTTTTTTTTTTTTTAACTACGAAGCCCACTAATGGATCCATATGTGACTTTGGTTTGAGCTCAAATGCAAGGTGGAGTTCGATTTGTTTAACCAACCGAGCCGAGTCAAACCAAACGTTTATACAAAAAACAACGAACCAAACTTAGAACAAGATGTGTGAAGCTCCAACAAATTTCGAGCCATATCTACCAATGAACCAGTTGATGACGGGAGCAAGCTAGTGCTCCCTTGGTCAGTTCTTCTGTACCTGTTGGTATCATATTTATCAATTTATATATTATGTATACATTAATTTTATATATAAATATAATAATAATATATGTATTTATATTTTTAAAAAAAATATGTAAAATATAGAAAAATATAGAAAAAAAATTTATTTTCCATCTTACCAAATACAAAAAAAAAATAATCTTTCTTATTTTTCATCCCTCTTATCAAAAACAAAAGAGAGAGAAAACGATTCATTATGTGAAAGAAAAAAAGTATATCACTTCCACTTTCCATCTTACATTTTGTTATCCACCTTACCAAACAAATCATAAATTTTAGGCGAGTATGAATTCTCAACATATATATTAAACCTTATTTACATGACTAAGTTCCATATCTCTCAATAAGTGGTATTAGAGTCACCTCTAACAAGCATTATAGCGTGCTGCTATTCATGATGACTCTGCAACAACAATGGTAGGCTCTTGGTATTAAAGTTATGGAAACACAATTCACCCATAAAAAGGAGATCATTGAGCATTACATGTGCAAAAATCTCGCATCAAATAAAAAAAGAAATGAAAGTGTCCTATATATTTATGAATGGACTCATTACCTGTAGTTTTAAATTTTTCGATGTGCAAGTATTTCAGACATGCATATCGAGTCTTTATCTCAACCAACTTCATGTCTCCCAATAGGTATACCTAGAGTATGTTCTTATCATTTCTACAGTATTTTCCCTTTTTCACAAACATCATTAACCCTTAGAGTGGTTTAGTTGATGAGATGTCTTAAATTCAATATTTTTTATATTTTTTAAGAGTTAGTCACTCTTATTCTTCAAGAACATGTTCTAAACCTACTTGGACTGTGGTGGCCAATATCCTAACTCTCAAAGAAATAATCAGCACAAGCTTAAACATCTTGTAACCAAAAAAAATGGTGATCGATCACCCATTATTTTATTGAACTCTCTCATGCTAGATAAATAAGATAACATACTTACCAATAAAAATAAGACAAAATTAATTATGTGCATCCCCAAATTTTTCCTAAATTTTTGCCTCCTTATTGTGGATGGTTCAATTAACACACCCCACTAGTTATTTTTTTCTCTTACAGACTCACCGGTCCAACCATTTACACTAATGTTGAAAATAAAATTTAATTTTTTTTTGAAAAATTTAATAGTATTTGATGATACTAAAACTTGGCTAAGGTTGAGCTCGGACCCACCAGTTCGGACATTTAAGCTCTGACCACGCAACTCTTGGTAAGTAGCACGGTATGTGCAAGTCAGTAATCTCTAACAACGAGATCCTCGTGGGCATGATAACAACGACAAGTGGCACCTTTCAGAAAGTCGCGTGTAACTCGTAACAGGCTAATATTCTGGTAGATGAGTTGCAACCAACTCAATACTATCAACGCTAATCCCGCAAAGAGAGCATCAGTTACGAGGTGACAAGGATCACGTAAGGCATCTGAAGACTATAAAAATGAGTCAAATCCAGCAGAATGTATTCAAGCAATTATCTACACAATTATTCTCTGTAATTTTTTTTCTTAATTAATAAAAAACTCAACCAGGAACAAGAGACTCTATTATAGTGGATTAGCCGAACTTTCGAACTAATGAACCACTATAAATCTTCTAACTATTGTTCTTCAAATTATATTCCCTAACCACCAAGAACTTAAGAGTTCTGACTAGACATTCCAATAATTTCCAAACTTTTAGATAACATACCTCTAATCAACTGTGCAAAACACATCATCAATATTGATACTCTTAATTTCGATGAGCCATTTAACCCCAAGAGGAAGTGGGCAAACATAAACCCACTGGACAAATTGGTTGTCACAATGGTTTCTATAAAACCACCCCACCCAGTTAGTGTATGAGGACATTTGAATAGTTGACTTTGACTATTATTTTAATCTTATATGTAAGAGGAAGTGTGGAATCCACATGGAAACCAAATTTTATGAATAAAAAAAAAACTACATGCCCCTTGGTGGATACCACGTAGTAGTGTTATATAGTATTTACGCCCAATAGTATTTATTCCCATAGTCGCAGACACACCCACAACTGCTCCTCCCTCAGTCTCGGTGCTCAATCCTTGAGTACTTACATGTGGGATTATATGTGATGCATACATCTAACTCTCTCTAGATCCCGTAATAACAAAAATATTGTGAACTAGATACGCCTTTTTTATGTGATGCCACTAAACCACGAGGGCGCGTAGCAGACCCTTTAGGGTATCTAGAATACTTTAGGCTTGACAAGCCCACACGTGTTAGACTAATGATCAGTAGTACAGTGCTAGTAAACATGTCCATCCCACTGATCATAAAACCTCAATGCCATCCTCCTCTATAATAGGTGGTTATGCCAAGCTTAGTTGAAATTGAGAAAAAGACGACTTGGGCTGGGACTTGGGCTGAAATGAGCATATCACCTATCGGGCCAGCAGCATGGCAACACACACTTCACCAAGCTGTCCTGTAGGTCCGATTTCTGTGAACTTTCTCACTTTGAAGATCCAAAACTCCAACTTATCAAGCACAACACACACTTCACCAAGCAATGTTGGATAAGATCACCACATTCATTGCTTCAATTTTACTAGAACCATGATATAAAATACCTAGTATTGGGACTTTCCCTAATAGCATACTAATTTGAGGTTTATAAAGTATGTCGCAACAAAAACGTCTAGCATCTCATAGGAAAAGAACAATGTTGTTACAGACAAACAACAGAGTGCAGTCACTTTGAAAGCACTGCAGATCCCACCTTTTCTGATACAAAATAAGGACCCAATATATTGGATCGGTGAAAAAGACGGAAAGGGTGAGTTTCCAACATAGGTAGTTCCACAGGGAAACAGCACCGACCTCTAGCACTACAGCTCTCNCGGATACAAAATAAGGACCCAATACATTGGATCGGTGAAAAAGACGGAAAGGGTGAGTCTCCAACATAGGTAGTTCCACAGGGAAACAGCACCGACCTCTAGCACTACAGCTCTCNCAAAAATATTGTGAACTAGATACGCCTTTTTTATGTGATGCCACTAAACCACGAGGGCGCGTAGCAGACCCTTTAGGGTATCTAGAATACTTTAGGCTTGACAAGCCCACACGTGTTAGACTAATGATCAGTAGTACAGTGCTAGTAAACATGTCCATCCCACTGATCATAAAACCTCAATGCCATCCTCCTCTATAATAGGTGGTTATGCCAAGCTTAGTTGAAATTGAGAAAAAGACGACTTGGGCTGGGACTTGGGCTGAAATGAGCATATCACCTATCGGGTCCGCAGCATGGCAACACACACTTCACCAAGCTGTCCTGTAGGTCCGATTTCTGTGAACTTTCTCACTTTGAAGATCCAAAACTCCAACTTATCAAGCACAACACACACTTCACCAAGCAATGTTGGATAAGATCACCACATTCATTGCTTCAATTTTACTAGAACCATGATATAAAATACCTAGTATTGGGACTTTCCCTAATAGCATACTAATTTGAGGTTTATAAAGTATGTCGCAACAAAAACGTCTAGCATCTCATAGGAAAAGAACAATGTTGTTACAGACAAACAACAGAGTGCAGTCACTTTGAAAGCACTGCAGATCCCACCTTTTCTGATACAAAATAAGGACCCAATATATTGGATCGGTGAAAAAGACGGAAAGGGTGAGTTTCCAACATAGGTAGTTCCACAGGGAAACAGCACCGACCTCTAGCACTACAGCTCTCACTTGTGTAAAACACACAGACAATTCTCCTTACCTATATCAGATGCAACACAAGGGGATTGAAGCTTCCCATCTTTATACCATCCAGCACGTTGCTCAATGAGTTCATTCAAGAAATCGTCGAGCTTGTCAATAGTTATGTTGGGCATCACCACAACGTGAGCAATATTGCCTTGGCAAGCAAGCTGCCACTTGCGAACAAACTCCTCATCATGTGGGCGCTCAAACACAACGGTGCTGCTAAGTTCATTTAGCATTGCCCCAATTCCAGTATCTCTAAGGCGGCCTTTCAGGTAGTGCGCATTCCTGAGGCATTTCTGAACTTCTTTCTGGAACCCTCTGTAACCTTTACGGTTTAAGGTGTACCAGAGGAAGATTGGAGCATGGCCATTTCGGCTTCCCATGATTGTTGCATCCCTAGAAGCAAGGTACTCCACATTCCTTGAGAGAGCATTAATATGCCCCAATCTTGTTATTTGGACACCACAAGGCATTGGGCATCCCACAAACTTGTGGCCAGATACACTCACACTTCCAATAGGCTTCTTAAAAGAAACTTTGGGTGCCTGGTCATCACCAAAAAAATGAAATTTAGAGAAGAACTCCAACAATTGATTTTAAAGGCTATTCTAAATGACACGAGACATAAAAATGGTGGAGGTCTCGGCGGATTATTCCAGCCTCATAGTTGGATCGTTGTATTGCTTACATTTCTTAAGAGACATACAGGGATGAATATTAAAGACAAGCATAATGCAAGAAAATATCCTAGTCTTTGGTTTTCTTCTTCCCAATCAACTCTTGAATGTTAAGAACACTGATATTTTGGCACATTTCCATTGTTAAGGGTAACGGTAAAAATTTCTGTGTGGTTCACAATGTGGTCTAAAAATGGTTCACAATGTGGTCTAAAAAGGTCCACCCAACACCAAGCAGGTACCCCTTGACCTGATTTTGCATTTGACACACTTTTGATAGTCACCCACATGTGCCTAACATTCTGCATAGGAACAAACTGTATAGGAATTTTTTTTAGTTATTATTATTTTTTTTTTGTCAAACTGTATAGGATCCACTACTGAAAAAGTGGGTTAATTGTCAACAACTAGGAGACCTAGCTTTTAGACCAAATCATTCTCGTCTGGCTGGCAAACAAAACAATAGTGCCAAGGAAACCATCCTGAGCAAAATGCTAAGCATCGACTATGGAGAGACATTCAGCAATTTCTTTTGAGTTGAACGCAACTAATGGTGGGTCTTATTGGCATCATGAATAAGGGATACCCATGCATCTTAAAGCAATGTGTTTTTGAAAAAGTAACTCATCTCTTAAGCAGAGCAGTGGATATTTGAATTCGCAGGCTATCAAAACTTACACGTTTGACAAAAGGCATCATGAGACCAAACAAAGCCCCATCACAGTGTATGTAGAACCGGTCGTGCGTGAATCCCAAGTTTTCAAGGGTCTGTATAACCAAATCAAGATCATCAACAGCTCCTTTTACGGTTGTTCCTGCAAAGATTGCCTGGATAAGACGCAAACTATACACATGGGTAGAGAGAGAGAGAAAGAGAGAGTACCTATGTTGACATTGATGATTGCTGGTTTGTCCTTGTGGCAAAGGAGTTTAGCTTTGAAATCCTCACAGTCAATCTCACCAGAGATTAAAGTGTCAACTTTTTCACATTCCATCCTGTACATTCTTGCCGCTTTGAAAACAGAGTAATGCGATTCCCGTGAGGCATACAAGATTCCATCAGGAAACACTTCCCGCCTGTAGATTCAATCTAGTCTATAAGTTTTTTTCAGTTAATAGCAGAATAAGTTAGCACGGAAGTAAAAACTTGCAGAACCTAAACTCATTGCTACTAACCCGACTAAAATACCATGAAGATTGCCTTCTGTGCCACAATTTGTAATGTAACCCCAGTATTCATTCTTCTCCAATTCCCATAGACGGGCAAACCAATCCAATACACCCACTTCAAACTGTCGAGAATGGACACCATAATTGCTCTCTATAAATGGATCGCCAAGGTTGTTGATGGAAAAGTGTTGCAACTGTGACAGGGCACCATAATCGAAGTCCAGATTATACGGGTAACCTGTTATAGAATACCAGCTTTATACATGATAACAGTAAAGCAGAAAAAACAATTTAGAAGGGGAAATTCTCCAGATCTTCATCACTCAATCAGTTTTCAAACACAACTCTCAGGTTGTTACACTAAGAAAGAACCATTATATAAAAATAAATATAACTATGCCATTTTGTAACTGTCATGAGTGTAGCGAGAGTTCATGAGTGTAGCGAGAGAGTGTGTGTGTGTCAAAGAGGAGACAGAGAGCANCGAACACAACTCTCAGGTTGTAACACTAAGAAAGAACCATTATATAAAAATAAATATAACTATGCCATTTTGTAACTGTCATGAGTGTAGCAAGAGTTCATGAGTGTAGCGAGAGAGTGTGTGTGTGTCAAAGAGGAGACAGAGAGCATTTGCATATTTTCCTTTCTTTCCTCCTCTTTCTATGCAGTGATCATTTGTAAACTCATATGACGGGGAATGCTCATATAACATGTCTAACAAGGGATCTTGGACTCTAATTGGTGATTACTCAAAAGGGAGTAACAACAAATATTAAAGGAATGCCCAAAGAGGTCAGAATGCAGGTTCAACAAAAATAGTTATATGCAAAGATCAACGAGGAAAAGTAGGCAGTGACAGCAAATGAGAGAAGGGCATTGTGTCAACCTATTTCACTACATTGTCATATATTCCCGTTCACTCCAAAATTATCTTGAAATTCATTAACCTAGATCCACCTAAGTTATTAAAGTCTAAAGTGTTTCAGGATATTCTTTTTTGTTTTGAGGATTCACCAGAGATATGAATGTAAAGCGACAACAATTCCAAACAGAGTAAATTCTCAATGTAATGGCAATATCACATTATTAGTTCACATGGTAACACTAACCAATATAAAGTTACACATGTGCAAGAAGTATTCATTGGGTTGCATCATATTTAGGGGTTGTGCAGTATACGCATGTAAGATGGATAACCTACACATGTTATAACCACTTCTTCCACGTGGTAATACCACGCATCACTGATGTCATGATATCAACGTCATTGATGAGGTGATACCAGCGTTATGTTGAATANGACAACAATTCCAAACAGAGTAAATTCTCAATGTAATGGCAATATCACATTATTAGTTCACATGGTAACACTAACCAAAATAAAGTTACACATGTGCAAGAAGTATTCATTGGGTTGCATCATATTTAGGGGTTGTGCAGTATACGCATGTAAGATGGATAACCTACACATGTTATAACCACTTCTTCCACGTGGTAATACCACGCATCACTGATGTCATGATATCAACGTCATTGATGAGGTGATACCAGCGTTATGTTGAATATTTACTCCTCCAATAAGAAATAATATCTGATTTTCTAAAAGAGATAATGCCATCCACTCCCCCTTCTCCATTACTGCCTTCTATTCTTTTCTCTTGATCTCTACCATAGTTCCCTTCTCATACGTCCTAAAATGTTTCTCTACCCAATGGATATTGGGGAGGCTTGGCTTCAAATGCAATGTTGGAAAACGAAATTAATTTTTTTCTCAATATTTTAGTTCAGGACCCTGGTTTCCACAAGATTTTCATCGGATGCATGGTTGCATGATGCCCATGCTAGTTTTTAACAATGTATGTGACTTATAAGAAAGGAGAGTGAAGATGGGTAAAAGATAATTAAGAATTCTAGAGATGAGTCACCTGCATTGTTGTTTATGAATTGAAAGAAGAAAGGTAAGAAGAGAGAATTACAGAAAAATTAGAGAAGAGAGAAAGAGCTCAAAGCCCTTCTGAATATTTTCTTGAACTTCATTCATTTTAAAGGTTCATCTTGTTCTACATCCATGTTATTTGTAGGCTTCTGATAACCCGACACAGAAGACCATCTAAAGATCTTCCCAACTCAAGGCATATTTATAAGAATTNTAAAGGTTCATCTTGTTCTACATCCATGTTATTTGTAGGCTTTTGATAATCCGACACAGAAGACCATCTAAAGATCTTCCCAACTCAAGGCATATTTATAAGAATTTCCAAAGCGAGGCAGTTTCGGTTTGTACTGTCTTTTCTCAATCTCTCCAAAGTAAAGAAAGAGATCAGATCACGTCTTGTGGATATTTGCAAGATTTTGTCGAACCATGTAAATTCTAGTATTGTATGTTGTACCTTGATTTATCTATTGCACTTGTTTATTTTCTAACATTATATTGACCAAATTGTACCAAGCACTCCCAACAAATCCCCTGCCAAAACCCTAATGGCATTCCAAAATCACATATTGTAGCCATTGACGGAACTACCATGGGGCCTGGGGGGGGCCTCATATTTTGGAAAAAGAACTCTTATATAGATAGGACACATGTAGAAATTTACTAAACCATGTGTAATTTCTGGTGTCCTAGTACCACAAGAATTGTGACTAGTGGCAAAGNGCCTCATATTTTGGAAAAAGAACTCTTATATAGATAGGACACATGTAGAAATTTACTGAACCATGTGTAATTTCTGGTGTCCTAGTACCACAAGAATTGTGACTAGTGGCAAAGGCATAATAAGTGAAAGTACGATAATTCTAGATAGTCATGAGCTCAATTTGGGAGGCAATGGGTAGTGTAATGTGTATAATATCATGCTCTGTCAGCAATTTCTTTCAGGTAATTACACTTTTATATTACAAATCAATAGGTTTAAGTTTTCGACTTAGTCAAAATGGTTGCATTATTAGGGGAACTTGGGGAGGGATTGAACTATAATTGCTGGATTATTCGGTGAAATTGAGGACAAATTGTAATATAATTATTGAATTGTTTGATGAATGTGCATTGTGATTATCCATGATGTGATGAAATGGAGATTAGCATTTATTTGTACTTGGGGGATTTTGAGATGAAATTGTTGATTGATTTATTAATTAATCAAAAAAAATCACATGTAATTAAACAAAATTAAATTGATTTTCTCAATTTTATTCGAAACCAAAGACTCTAAAAATAATATTAAGTTATTTTTGATAGGTTATGTACAATTTAAATTTTTTTTACATTAACAAAAATTAATTAAATAATCTCATTGACCCCCTCCTATTATAAAATTCTGGTTCCATCCCTAATTCGTAGCAATAATATATCAACTAAAGGTAAAAAACTAGAAACATCCATTCATAAATTTGAGCCCATATACACTTTTTGTAAGGCTTAAATAAAATTCCAATAGCCTTGCAAACATCACAAAGCTTAACCGTTAGTGCAGAAAAATGTTATAATTTCGGGCACAAAAACTAGTACCACTTCTTACAGATTGAGGACATAGATGCCCTTTCGATTATATACATAAGAGATACAAGGCAAAATAAACTGCTCTGCTAAAATAGTCTGATTGTCTAATGATAATTTACCTCCTCAATTCACCTACTAATGAAAACCTACACAAATAGCATATTTAACAACTGCACCACGTGTAACAGTAACTCTAAAATCAAAACATATCTGTAAAGGTTAAATATACATATTAAGATAAACAAATTCTATCTTACCCAAATGGTGCTTAGTCCTTTCAAGCAAAGACTTTCTATATCTCGCCAAAACACTAGCCATGTACGCTTCCCGATCTCCGGTGATCTCATCATCCGCATCTGGCTCCGTAACTNCCTTTGTTTGTGATGCGGTTGTTAAAAGAGTAGGAAAAAGAATGGATAGTTCGAAGAAGGCTTTTTATCAAATGGAGGAAGGTTAATGATAGTGTAGTTGCCCCTTGGTATTGACTAGTATTCTCGTTCACATATCTCTTTTTAAGATGCAATGTAAGGTGGCTAAGAGGATTGAAAAAGATGATGAGACACTTCTTGTGGGATGACAATGAAGGCAAAAAAGATCATGTGATTGAGTGGAAGTTGGTTTCTAGATCATAGATAAAACATGTCCTATCGGCATGAAATTTTTTAGCTAGAAATGTGATCTTAGCTGGGAAATGGTTATGATGCTTTCTTGTGGAGCGAAACCCATTGTGATATTTGGCTATCAAATGTAAGTATGGATTACAAGTTAGTGTTGGGATGCTAATGTGGTTAAATAGGGAAACTTTTGAAGCCTATGAAAGTTTATTCCTTAGGGTTTACCTGAATTGTCTCATATTATCAATTCGCGGGTTATGGGGTTAGAATTCGTTTCTAGGAGGATACTGGGAACAAAGATCAAAATATTGTTTCGAAACAATCAAAACATCCGAAACGTTTCCGTTTCCAATGAGACTGAAACGAATCAGTGATTGAATTAAAATTTTAATATTTCGAGGTATTCTATAATACTTCGAAATGTATTGTTATATTTCAATGCATTTGCACAATTATTTCAGAATGTTTTAAGGTATTTCAAGATATTTTGACCAATGTTTTAAAAAAATAATTCTTAATTTTTTTATTTTTTTCATTTTGATTTCGAAACGGGTCGAAACGTTTCTGAAATACGTCAAAATGTTTCCGTTTCTTAGGTGATCAAACCAAAACTTAGAAACGAAATTTTGATCCTTGACTAGGAATGAAAAAACATCATTTTTTGTGCTTGTTTCCTAGTCTTTATCATTCTGGTGTTCATGTTTCTAGTATTGATTTCATGATTGACTTTTGCTCTTGTCTACCACTTGGGATTTTAGATTCCATCGAAAACCTGAATGACAGAGGAACTTTAAAATTTGAAACATTGTTCAGGCATAAAAGGTGGGGCATGTATTCATCTGTAATTTTTTCTTGCAAGTCATACTTTGATCTTTTACTTAATGATCCTTTAATTTCGTTCTTTATGCCCTCTTTTGGTGGTATGGAAGGTCAAAGTGCATAATAAGTCCAAGTTTGGGCTTGAATAAATGCTCATTGTAAAATTACTGCCAAAGTGCTTCTAATGAGAAGACCAAAAACTTGCCTTCAGTACAATAGTGCACTATATGTTGCCGTGATGCTGAGAATATTTATGACCTTTTTTTGGCATTGCCCTTATGCCACTAATTGTTCCAATCTGTAGGATTGAATTTGTTGATTCCTTGATCTTCCTTATTTATGTTTGCGATGGATTTCAATACTTTCGACAAAGAAAAGAAAGGTTGTATCCTTTGGATTGTGCAATTCTTGCTATTAAATGGTTTTGTGGTTGAAAAGGAATTTAAAAATTTTTAAAGTATAATTTGAGGGGGTGGAAGGGTTATNGGTTGAAAAGGAATTTAAAAATTTTTAAAGTATAATTTGAGGGGGTGGAAGGGTTATGTAATAGGATTGTATGTTTTGCCTTTGTTTTGGGGTCCAATTAGTGACGAATTTGTGGATATTCCTTTCTTTTGCATTTTGACAGTTTGGAGAGCTTCACGTGTCAGTTTAGGTTTCTTGGCATCTAAGAGGCATCCAGTGTTTTTGTTGGTTTTCAAGTATGTTGGTTGGATGTCTTGTCCACTATTGTAATTTTACATTTTTTTATCTTCATAATAAGATTTTGTTTTTTGTAAAATAAAAATGACTTTGAAAATGTCATCTTTGTTGTTTTGTTCAATTGATTGTTTGAAAGTGTGGAGTGTTTATTTCTAGCGGGTGGCATTAACACTAGTGCAGTTTGTATTATCCAAACTTCCCACATATGTTATGTCTATCTCTTAAAAGCCTAGCATAGTGGCTAGGAGGATCGAAGGGATGAAGAGGGATTTTTTGTGGAGGGGAGTGGTGAGGGAAGAAAGAATCACTAGGTAGTGTCTAGGCCTAAAGAAAAAAGTGGTTTCTCGGAGGGAAATTTATTGGGTACAAATCTAGCTTTGGTTGAAAAATGATTTTGGAGATCATCTTTGTAGCAAAATTCATTGTGGCACTCAATTATTAGAAGCAAATATGACTTATAGACTAGTGGGTGGGATGCTTGTTGAAAGAGGAAGTCTCCAAAACCCTTTGAAATTTGTTTCCTAGGATTATCTTGATTTTTTTAAATGGTTACATATGTAGTGGAAAATGGGGTGAGTTTTGGAGTCTTCTTTATTGTGTTTTTTCCTTCTCGACTCTTA